GACTTCATTGCACCCAAAAACAGGGAGAAGTTCTACCGTTCATTAATCGGTTGTACTCAAAAGTCTTCTGAGTCTATACCTTTTTTAGAACCATATTTAATAATGCTTTTTAATAGGGTTTCTGCACTTCAAAAGCTTAACAAAAATTTTAACTTTATTTAAAATTGGTCAATTATCCAAAATAAAATCTAAACTTAAGACATTAAAATACATTACTTATAAGGTTTAAAGTTGAGTTGATATTGATATAAAATTTCCTAAAAAAACAACAATATTATAAGATTCGGGAAGCCAGTCATTACTAAGGATTTTAAATAGACGGATTAAATTTGATTAAAATTTAAATTTTATAGCTGCAAGGGTATATAAACTCCTGCTTGCCAAAACTTGCATCTTTCTTACTTTTATGCTATGCTATTTTATACTGGTTTTTTTCACCATTTTAAGTGAGTAAGCCGCAATTATATTTGCATAGTCTCGTTGGCCCGTAATCCATTCTGCTGCGTTTGTCACAATCATTTATTAAAATGATAAGCGCTGTTTAAGCGTAGCTGCTGTCAGGTGACTGAAGCCATGGCCAACACCTAAAGGACCCCGTCAGCCACTCCGCAGGATCTGAGTCCTGTATCCGACGAGCTGGCAACATAAGTCATAAGGATACAGGACTGCAGCTGGCTGGCATGTTTTATGTTTTCGCTCACTTTCCGACACATTTTCGCACATATTTTGTTTTTATTTTTTGCGCTTGTGCAGCATGCTGTGGGGTGCATGCTGACTTGAGCTGTTGCAGCTGGACCCAGATTTTCAGTTTCAGTTCTGTGCCTTCGTGTCGTTATGAATAATGAGTTTTCCAGCTGCACTACCACTCTTCGCAGTCTCTCGATTTAATTAAAGTTCTTAATGAGTTTTCTGTATCGCGCGCCATCGATCAGGTCGAACCTGGAATTGAACCATTGTCTTGTCGTGGAACAAAGAACTTGTTTCACTGGCTGGGATTTTTTGCCGGAACATACATAAGTATCCTCCTTAGCATGTCTACTTGGGCTTCGTTTCGAGTTCATTTGGCTGCCAAGCTGGCGAGATGCACTTTTGCCGCATCTGCAATTTGTTCTGCGGTCTCCGCTGTTTTCCCCGAACATTCGAGTACATATATCGTCGGGTAAAGCTTTGCTTTGCATTTTCAGACACTTTTTTCGTGCCACCACCACCCCCTACTCGCCGTGCACAAATTCATGGCATTCTACGGCTTGGGTTTCCCTCTGTCGGATTTTGTGGGAATCTGGTTGGTATTCACTCTATGACAAAAAGTAAACAATTTGCACAAAGCATTTCATATGCTGCCAGCCATAGTGTGTGCATTTTTGATTAACAGTTGGGTTTGTAGCGAAGATTCTATTTAAGTTTATTTAGGGAATACTTAAAGCAATAGAGATAAATTAACAATAGTTTGTGCATAAGTCATTATTATTACTTTGCCGTCACCAGATTTAATTTACAGATATTTACTTTCATAGAGCGCATTTAATTACACCATATGAACTAATGCGTCGCCCAAAGCTAGTTAATTATTCGTCTTTCTGTTTAAGCCTTTGGTAATCAAAATTTAATATAATCATCTTGTTTTGGTGCTTAAGCTTTAATGTAAACAGGCCAAACTGCCTTCGGTCACCTTATTAAACACACATACTATACACGCACATTCACATGCACTGAAACAGAAACAGAAACAGAAACAGCTGGGTGTTGGGCAATAAGCGCTGCCTACAGAGTCAGTTGCCAGTTAATTGCATAATGACGGAGAGCCGGCATTTAATCAGCTCGTTTGTCAACAAAGTGCAAGTATAATCAGTTTGTGGAACGTTTGTACGGTGGAGGAGGGTCATGCTAAATAGGACTCGGCGGCCGGTGAAGATTTGCTCGCCTTGTCAAACGCTAAACTAATTACGTATACGCAATGTGATTATGAGCTCGAGACTGATTGGGCAGCGCGGTTGGCAAGAAAATGGACGAGTGGGTGCTTGTAATGGTGTCTTGGACGATGCTATAAGCCGCAATAATGACCCGCCCAAGAACCATCTGTGATACCAAAAAAACAGAAGCAATGTGCTCGTTGTCCAAACATTTGTTGACATATTGCGGATTTAAAATGATTTGTGGCTGCCAATCCCCGAGAATTAAACAAATACATTTGAATAATGGCAGGCAATCAGCAAACAAAACGCAAGACTGATTGCCGGCAATAAAAGTGGACCATAAAAAGCGATAACATCATATTTATAAGCCCCGTCAAGACCCACGTCCCATCTCCGTTTCCATCTCCATCTCCCAAGGTGCCGGCGAGCGTTGAAAGCGATTATATGCGTAAATATAAAAATGGCAAAAAGACAAATAAACGACAATAAACGGCCAGCCAAAGTATTCCTCGAGTTTGCTTCCTCCGTCTCCCAAAAGCATCCTTGGCTAAATAAACGGAAAAAATGGCCAACAAAAATGATGGGCCCATAAAAAGGGAAACGTAAGAGAAGCTCAGCGAGGACCTAAGCAGCTTACAGTGGGAAAAGAAGAGCAAATGGCAAGCATAAATATTTTTGAAGCAGCCAACATATTCTTGCAAAAGAAATTCTTACATTTAATACTTTAATACTTTTAAATTTCATAAGTCTGACTGACTTTTCCAGCTTCAAATAATCAACGTTTTAATTAACAACGAATTATTGTCCTGTTGTTACTGAGTTGCAAAGTCTCTTTTTTTTAATTGAAACAATTCTGGATTATCTCAATTGGCACAAAGTAAAGTAAAGTAATATTTTACTCAGTTATTTGCATTAGCAACCACTGTACCGGAAGTTTATTTGCGGGCATTGCCGAAAATCGAGTAGGCGGCACGTCTGGCCAAAAGTTTTCTTTTGTGTGTGTTCTTTGTTTATGACGACCATTTGGTTTGCGGAGACCGTCGAGATTAGGTCGGAGAATGGGAAGGTGAAGGTTGCTTATGGCCTGGCTAACTTACCATCACCGCAACCTGGTGGACTTTAACTCTACCAATAGCCAAAAAACAACTGCATTGAATGCATATTGAATGCGCGACATTGAAGTCTAAATTTCAGAGTTTATATTTAAGAGCCATCGAATGCAGTGATTCAAATGATTTAAATTTACCTACACGTTTAGAGCACTAAAGTGCCTTTTCTAAAAACAAAATAAATATCACGAAAAGAGTCCTGTTTGCTTTCAACGTGTGTTTAACTTTATATATTTTTTTTGTTCTAGGGTATTTTTGAGCATGTTGGGTATAACAAATGCTTGAGAGACTTGAGTTTTATTTTTAAACTCTTAATGCAAAACTGGGTGTAAATACAACATACAACATATACAACTAAAAATTTTTTACTTGCACTGAGTATTAACACAGTTCATCACATTGAAATTGGCTACTATTAAGCTCGCAGGGCTGGGGTCCATTGAAAGTGCCTGGCACTTTTCAGCTCAGGCATTTCCCGCTGCGTTTTGTTTGCACAAAGTTCAAAAGGCGGTGGCGGTTTAGGTTTTAGCAGGCGACCTGCCGCCAAAATGTCGAGCCTGACAAATTGAATGGTTGCCTGCGTTTGCACAAAGAGACCAAATGGGTGCAGGTGGACGTGGCAGTGGATGTGGCAGTGGACACAGGACAAAAAGAATCTCGGACGCCAGAACGTGAATGGAACTCTGACTGATTGACTGGCGTCCAGATTCCAGAGTCGAAAGTCGAGGCCTGTGAGCCATGTTGACACAAGGACTAAATAACAAATTAAAGGCAAAAAGAATACTTACAAATAAATTGCGAGTGCAAATGGGGTTCATTTTACTCAGCTGGAATGTTTAGCCCAGCTTAGTGTGGCAGGTGCTGTCCTGCAGAATTAAGGGCAAACGAGTCAGGGACAAATCTCGGTGGCGATAAAAAGCTGCTCATTAAATTGCAAAGGAAAAGTGAAACACAATTCAAATGGCTGAAAGCTGGAGACTGCAGTCTGTCAGGTCAAACTACATACAAAAAAGGGGGAGTAAGAGAACCTTGCCGAAAGAAAGCACGAAAAACGTGCTAAAACGTAAATCAACAGCGAAAATCGTGTTGAGCATTTTGTTGTAGCTGAAAAGGCATAAGCAGCAGCTGCTCCGGGGGAAGTGGAGTTGAAAAGTGCCAGTACAAAATTCAGATGGGTAAGCCAATGGCCAGTGTCAGGCAACGGTAGCAGTTGTCCTGCTGAAAACTGTAAACTGAAAACTGAAAAGAAGGACTGGCTGGAGTGAACGTAATTCAATATGCGGAGCCGTGTTAAAAGCTGTAAAAATGCTTAAGCGTTTTTCAATTTACCCGTTTTATGTTACTAGCAACGCTTGCAGCTTTTTCTCCAAGGCGAATGCGATTTGCTGCCAGCTCAAATTTCTCGAACGCTTGTGCAACTCATTTGTAAAGTGTCTAACGCCCATAAAAAAAGTAAAGGGGTAAAGACGAATGTCCCCCCGATATTGCAAATAACAGTCACAAACAAATTTGATTTTTTATTCGCTTCGGGGCAAAATTGTTGAACAGAGCATCGCTAGTTTGCAATTTCCGTCAAGTTTTTATTTGGAAAATTTCCTGGCCAACACCTTTCACCTTTTTTTGCGCAACATTTTCCTGCCGTGCTTGAACAGTAAAAGTTTTCACTGCAGCTGGGGAAAACGTGGAAAATGTGGAAAAAGTGCCAACGCAGCCAGAAACAATTAAACTTGAACTTTTGTCATAGAACGAATGCAATAAATGAAAATAAAAACAGAAATCTGAAAGCGCAGCAGGAAATTTCTGCCGTATCAGCAAAACATGGCGACAGACACAATTTCGGTCCAAGACCAAGTTTGGATGGCGTGGCTAATTAATTTTTGTTTATAACCCATATGGAACGGGCAGTTGGAATTTGAACGGAGATATTAAATTAATTAAATGTTCTAACGCTCTTAATTACGTTTCTTTTCGCTTGCAGGCAAACACACGCGCCTGGACAGCCAGCAGACGGCACAGGATGGTAATTAATAAGCTCCCATTTCCCCTTTTTCCTTATTTTCCAAGGGTCACATGGGACGTATGCGCAATGTGCCGCAGTGCAGCGGCCACCAGATGCAAGAAAAATATCTGTTCTGTTGCGTTTTTCCATCTGCTGGCAGGGATCGTTGAACTTTTAATGAAACGGACTCAGCTTACAAAGTTTACAATCGGAGTCATCGCTTTGTGTTTCTTTTAGATTCCGATTTTCCGCGATTTGCGGAACCCATTGCCAATGTGACTGTTTCCGTTGGCCGAGATGCCTTGATGGCCTGCGTGGTGGAGAACCTCAAGGGCTACAAGGTGGCCTGGGTTCGAGTGGACACGCAGACGATCCTGTCCATTCACCACAATGTCATCTCGCAGAACAGCCGGATAAGCCTGACCTACAATGACCATCGATCGGTGGGTGTATATAATATTATATTATTTCCTAGTGTACATTTATGAAACCAACCATTTGAAACTATAATTTTTAAATATTTGATTTTTATTTAATTACACCGCTTTGTTTTCTGAAAAGTTAGTATAACAAGCCATTAAATTTTTTAAAACAAAAACCTATAGATAATAAAACTTTATTTGAATTTGAGGCTAATACTATGTTTCTATTCGCTAAAATTATTTGTGCTGCAGTGGTACTTGCACATCAAGGAGGTGGAGGAGACGGATCGCGGTTGGTACATGTGCCAAGTGAACACGGTGAGCTCGAGTGCTGTAAGTAAGTTCGTGGAATCAACTACCTAATCTCTTTATTCCCGACAGGATCCCATGCGCTCCAGGAAGGGCTACTTGCAGGTGGTGGGTGAGTACGAAAACCAATACCCAGCTATGTCTCCTGACCCCGAGCGTGACCCCTTGGCCTTCGATGTTTTCTACTCTTCAACAGTTCCCCCCATGATTGTCGAGGGCCTGACGAGCAACGACATGGTGGTGCGCGAGGGTCAGAATGTATCGCTGGTTTGCAAGGCACGTGGCTATCCAGAGCCCTACGTCATGTGGCGTCGCGAGGACGGCGAGGAGATGCTAATTGGCGGGGAGCACGGTAAGCAACCCTATTCCGGCGCACTGCACTTGGCTTAACCCATTGCCCTTTCCCCATTCCCCATTCGGGATTCCCTAACCCCGCAGTCAACGTGGTCGACGGGGAGCTGCTGCACATCACCAAAGTGAGTCGCCTGCACATGGCCGCATATCTGTGCGTCGCCTCCAACGGAGTCCCGCCATCGATTAGCAAACGGGTCCACCTGCGTGTGCAATGTGAGTAAATGTCAACTGTTTAGCTAGCCAGTCAAAGTTGGCTAACTGACTGACTGGCTGACTGACCCGCTGGCTTAGAGAGAACTTGATAGCTCTAGCACTCAGGCACGTAGCCAAGAAGGGACTTGCCTCTGAGTTTATAGGTGGATCTATATTGCTTATTCATCAGCATTAAAATGTTTGGCGTTAATATAGGACACACTTTTTTTTGCAATGTCACTAATGTAGGTCAATGAAAAACTTCAGAGAATTAAATTAAATTTTCGTTTGGCAGTTTTTAAGAAATGCTCCAAATAACAATTTCTTTAGAGCAAAAAAAAAACAGAATTACCTACAAAATCACCATAGGAAATCCACAAAAACAAAATCCGAATTTGCTAAAATTTATTAGAAAATAAACAAGACAATAAAAAATTATTATAAACAACATTTGCTATGCATTCAATATATTTTTGTTATGTTCAAATTGATTTTGCCTAAGTATTTCTGGTAAATTTTGTTTTTAGTTAATTTCAATTTCAAAATTGAATGACATTCGCTCAGAATAACCAATATCACAGATGAAATAAATTCGGTGCAACAGAATTTTCTGACTGCTTTTCCTGGGGTGCGTAAAACGGTAAAAATAACGTAAAATCCATTTTGGGCTCAACTCTCTTGCAATATTAATTGCCAGTGGAAGTGGAAAAGGGGTAGAGATGGGGGAATGTTGCTGTGACGAATGCGTAAAATACACAAAACAAGGCAGGCTGTCTCCCAACCACTCACTTCAGAGCCCCATTGCATGTTGCCAATGCAGTTTTTGGGGCAATAACCGCAACGCGTCCTCAACATTGGCATACCAAGCGGAGATGGACGGGCAGTGGGTGGAAATGGGTGGCGATGGGTGGCCAACTGCCCACGCACTTGGCCAAAATCGACCAAAAGCTGCAGTCACGTTAAATTAATTTACCTGTGAGAATTTGACTGTGCGTGTCCCACTGCCTGGGGCCAAAAGTGTTAGTGATGGACAGCCTATTCCATTATCGGTGGGATATAACCTACATTGAGGTTATAAAGTTATAGCGAAAAGTAAATAAAATACAAAATTTAAGAATTGGGTTTATATTAATATTTATATTTATCAAGCATTATGCTGCCATCTCTAGTCCCGATATTCTGAATGCACTGCGCTCGTTTCGCTTTGTTTGTGGGCGTTTGTTTGTTTGTTTGTCGGCAGGTGTTATTTTGTGCCCCCGTGATGTGTGCGTGGCCAAAATGCGTTCACCATTCGCAGAGCAGCTTTTGTTGTTACTGCGTCGGGCTGGCTTTCCCACGCCCACAAACAGTCATTTACCCCCGGTATCAACAGCAGCAACATCAGCAACACCAGCAACAAAAGCTATTTACGCACACACGCCCTGCCCAGATGGACGTTCATGTCCCAGACACAATCACTCGCTCCCAGGCGCACTTTTAATGACTGAGTGCATTTTAATCCAAAAACAGTTTGTAAACTCACGTAAAATGGTATGCAAAATTCTCGGTAAAACTCGGATGGAGCCGTAGAGCTGATGAAAAGTCCGTGACGTATTCCGGCAGTGGTATGGGAAAAACTGTATAGTCGTGGTATGGCAGGGATGAATGGATTCAATTCAAAGATAATGGAAGTGGATTACTTTGAAGAGCAATAAGCTTTCAGACTGCAACAGTTTCAACCTTATGAAATCCTGTTTCAAAATGCTAACGAAGTTATATGAATGGGCTTAATAAGACTTGATAGATTAAGTAAAGTGATGAGAAGAACAAAGCAATTTCGATAGTAGGGTTTCATAATAAATTGAAAATATTCAATTAATTTTTTTCACCTACAGTTCCACCGATGCTCTCCATTCCCAATCAACTGGAGGGAGCCTATGTGGGTCAAGATGTAATACTAGAGTGCCATACTGAGGCCTATCCAGCATCTATAAACTACTGGACTACGGAACGCGGCGACATGATAATATCGGGTAAGTTAAAAATGTAAATCTACTAGGCTTACTTCTCTTTCGATCTGAATAAGAATTCTTGTTAAATAAAATCGAGTTTATTAACTGAAAAACGTTTGTAAATAAGCTTACAATGTAATCACCATGCGTACCAACATCTCGAACTCCTTTTCTCGCTTAAGTTCAGTCTGCGTAAAATTGTCATGGGAAATGCCAAAAAGGGAAACAGAATGTGAACTTGCTTCTGTAGCGAACGCGAAAAGCCCAGTGAAGCTGATCCCATTTATTCCGCTTTTTCAGATGCGAGGGAGTGCAAGCGAATGTTGATGCGGTGTACATTTTTACTGAGTTGCATGGAAGTTTTCGACGTTTTTTTACGTACTTTTCCCCACGCAGTGGTTGGCCATTAAATGCGTTGCCCATACGCACAGTGTGACAGGCTTAAAATGTACATTTACATGCAAGTGCACGCGAGGTCACAGTGAGCTGCCCTGCCTTAAAGTGTCTCGTCTTTATGGGCTGACACTTTAACAGTTTTCCCTTGATTGACACTGGACAGTTTTACAGAGCGAGCCGAAAAGTTGAAACCTGACACAGATTAAATATGTGTCAGAACAGCCTGACCAAAAATCCAGCCAAAGCCACTCATTATTTAAATATGTTTCGTGCTTTTAAACATTTACTTAAAGAGTTCTGGGCCTAAATGTAATTTACTCTTATAAAAAGGCTTTGCAATTGTCAATTTACAAAATAACAATCATTACTTTAAACCAAAACTTTATTGCCCTGTATCTCAACATTTCCATTTAATCAAAACTCCACTTTAAACCTCAACTTTATCATGCTAAAAATCAATATTTCAGAACACAATTATATTAATTAAACTCAGAGCACTCAAAATGCAGTCCAAATTAAATATGGTCAAAATTGAAATAATCAAAACTAATAAATAACATATTTGATGCGCTGGAAATGGGCAATTCCAATTTAATATAAAATCGCAAAAATCGATGCACAATACAAATTGAATAAAGAAAGTGGAAACTGTCAGAAAATATTATTTTGTTGCGGAAATTATTTAAACATAATCATGTTGGCTGGCATATTTGCATGGGCGCCAAAATACCGGAGGGAGTTGAAAATGCCTAAACTCATGGCATCGTTGCTGAATTAAATCGGAAAATAGATATTATTGTTCGGATTTCATCCCCATATTCTGTGGTAATATTAACTTACTTTTTAGTTGCAGTCAAATTAGTATTCTTCTAAAAGGGAAACCTGAAACTACTGCACAATAGTATTTGAAATTCGGGCTGCGTCGAGTACAAATCCAATTCAATCCAATATAAGCCAACCCCTATGACTCATTGATGGCACTTCATATGCATAAAAATTGAGCTAAATATAGACGAGCCTTTGATGGACTGTCATTCGGTTTCATTTTATGCTTAAATGTCACTTTGTTTGTTCGATAAGGAAGACATAGCCATGCCCAACTCAAAGGCAAAACTATGGCCATGCTTTGGCTTCAGATGGCTCAGGTAGCAAACGCTGAGGCGAAAATATGTCATTTCATATGCACACACGCACAAGCGACAGGCTCAGCCACAGCGAGCAAAATGCGAACTGAGATATGAGATATGAAAGCCACGGTCATGATGTATGGCAAACAGCCACCAAAACTAGGGGTAATAAATTTTAACCGCTTTCCCATAGAGTTCCGCACTGTTTCAACTATCTATGAACAGAGGTACAAAAACGGAAGTAGCTTAAAAAGTAGAAAAAATAGGTTTTTTTAACAAATGTTTCATAAAATATCATATTTTATAAATAGAAATACACAAAATTTATTTATTACTAAGATAAATCTATTTTTATCTTACTAATGATATGTATTACAAAAAGTTCTCCGATTAACCCGATATAATTTTGTTCTTTTAATGTAAAATACTGTATTTAGGTTAACTTACATACAATACTTACATAAATAATTTTAAAAAATTCTGATTGGCTCAGGAAAAAATTCGCATAGACAATAAAGTTTTTCCATTTAAATGTTTACAAACCACCCTCGCTTAAATGTCTACAGCAGATGCCATATATCACAAACGTATATAGTATGCCAGTCGGCAGGACAAGCAATTCTACTAGCAGTTCAAGAAACCGAAACTTTCGTTTAATGTGGCTGGTATTAAAAGTATAAAGTTCCTTGCAAGACTTGGCAGCCAGGAAAAAGAATTGCTGCCGCCGATGATTATGAGAAAAATTATATATTTGCGTGTCGGCGGGACTTACATGTGGGCCTACGGATAGTTGTGGCATGTGAGGAGATGGAGAAGTATCACAAAAGGTGACTAGGGCTATAAAAAGAAGTCGCAAGAGCGGTTCACATGCACGTTGGCCGTTGCTTGTGGAAAATTGTTTTTGCCCCCTTTTGTTTGGGGCTGACAAAAAAGAAAACAAGGAAAACTAAAGACATTTGTCACAGGCACACATACGAATACACGCTCATAGACAAAGGACAACATGACGTATGGGTAACATGCGATATCGCCTTACAATGCGCCAAGCAATCAAAGTGAAATTAAGTTTATATATTTAATGCTACTTACTGCCAGCTACTTGTTCTCGATTTCGTAGTGCTAGAAGGGGCCCCAAAATGTAGGCAACACAATACGAAATGAAACGAAACGAAATGGAACGAAATTAAAGCCGCAAAAGAACAAAAGTTTTTCTTTTAGATTTTCACTGATTAATGAGAAAAGTTTTAGTTGGCGATGGCGATGGAAATGGCTGAAGAACTGCGCCAGTTTTAATTACACACACACTCACAGAGAAGGGGATGGGGTGGGTGGTTGAACAGGGCGTAATTAGTTGGATTCCCGATTGAGAAAGCAACTCACTTCACTGCACATGGCCAGCACTAACAACAGCCACCACAACCCAGTGCAGGTGACATTAATTAATTGATTTTTTCCCCTTACATATTTTCAAACCCATAACGCTATTGCTGGAAAATTGTCACTGTAATTTATGGCACACCAGCTTAAAGGACCTTCACTTTATTCGCATTTTTCGCACTTTTCAGACACCTCGAGAGCCGGCGATAAATACGAGACCACATCGACCGTCAGCGGTTACACAAAATACATGAAGTTAAAAATCCGTGCCGTTGGTCCCAACGATTTTGGCACATATCGCTGTGTGGCCAAAAACTCTCTGGGCGAAACCGATGGAAATATAAAGCTGGATGGTAAGAGCATTTTTATTGTCATTTAATTTATTTTCCAGCACTTTACTTAGCATAACAGCCGTTTGAGGCATATTAAAAGTACTTCAGTTAACGACTATATCCCATATTATTTACAGAAATGCCAACACCAACAACAGCCATTATTTCAGAGATGTCCTTGCTCAACCGCAGCTATGGTAAGAGTTAATTTCGTTATTAACCATCACGTACATTCCACTTATTAAAGTTTGCTGTTTAATGTGCACTTTAAAGTGCAAACTAATATGGCAAAGAGCTTAAATTTGCATTATGACCAGTTCAGAGCCATTCAATCGACTCCCTAATTGATTAAATTTCAACCATAAGCATCGCAGCATAATTTTTTTTGCTTGGTCATGAATTATATAACACAATAATGGGTTTTTAATTTTATGCACTGCAAAGCACGAAATCACAGTCAGCACTTAACACTAAATTGGTTCATAAGGGCAATCAATCATGCATTTTTTTTAAACCAACATTTAAATTATCGAATCTAAAATAAACGATTCGTAATTGTTCTCGTTTTAAACTTATTTAAAATTGTACCTGAGAAAAATCACTTAGCTTCGCCTTACAAGCATTCTAGATTTGCTAATTGAAAGCGATAAAGGGCCACGACATGTTGAAATTACAGTAATCATCGCAAATTGCCGAAAACACAAATCATTGTGAAACCACACCACATAAGACCGCACCCCATTCCACATCCATGCGACCCACCTCGTTTCGACTCCATCAAGTTTAAATTGCATGCAATCTTTTTTTGTTCCGTTTTTGCCCCTTTGTTGGTTGTTCTTCGGCTTTGTTGCCCCATCAAAGGGCTATTAAATGCAAATAAATGCAAATAAATGCAAAATTAAATAAAAATACCTTAGCATACAATTACCCCTAGCATCTGTGAAAATATGTATAACTAAATTCTTTTTTATATGGTTTCTCTCTTTATTGTTTCCCGAAAACCGTCCTCCATTTGAATATTTCTTTCATGTTATGCCCTTCTCCAACAACCTACAACAACCAACAACAACCACCAACAACCGACAACAACAACCGCCATTACTCACGTACCGCGTTATCCCGATCTCTCCCTGAACTATATCTCTCCTACTTGACTGACGCTTGCTGCATAAAATTAAAAATGTGTAAAAAATATAAAGATGGCAAGAGACGTCATAGAAATAAATTTGACTCGGCTAACGCTTTGCCTGATTATGGGGTTGAGGAGTGGCGTGACGGTGCCCAAGGTAAGTACTATGTATATCTCGACGAGCAGCCTTTGCCTTTCATCCATCCCAAAAGTCCACCCCTCCATGACCATTTTCCTAACATCAATTCCCCCTTTTTTCATGGCTATCTCTTCTTTAGTGGCATTTTATGGACCATGCTGCATTCTCTACGTTATTTGCACATTGCGAGGCCAAAGTTGCCCCTCGTGGTTGCATTTTTCTTTCATGGCATTCACATTTCAAGTGCGTCGCCGTGTGATCTCATAATTTCAATATTTTTAAGGTTTTTTTTTTACTTTTTCCTTGGCCGAAAACTTGGACAGCGCGCATAACATTGCCAGGCACTTTGTTGGGCCCAAGTGATTAACTCAAACGTTAAAAATTAATTAAGTTTTGCTCGTTCTGTGCGAAATGACGCTTTCAGTTGGCTGCCTCGTTGTTATTTTCATTCATTCGCCTTCCGTGGCAAATACAAATTGCACTTCGTTGCTGCCGGCATCTTGGATTTGTGTAGTGCCATAAGCATTGACGGAAAAAGCAATAAATGGGGCTTACAGCACAATAACTTTGGCAAACAAAAAGCACGAAATTCGCAAAGAGAATGGCAATGGCGGATGAAGAGCAACTTTAAATGGCTATAAAGGTTTTTATTTCAGTCAGACTAGGAAAAGATAAAGTGCAAACTTAAAGATTTGAAGGAGATTTCTAATGAGGATTTTGGGGATTAACTTAACTCTCTTTAAAATAAATGTAAATTAAAATATTTAAATTAAAGTTTGATAATATCAATTGAAGACTTTACAGTTGACATTGATTCCTTTTAAAGTCGCAATTAGATAACTTAGCTGACCATTTAACCTAAATATCTAAAAGAAACAAAACATTTAAACAAAGAAAACATGAAAACTACAATGTATCAGCATTTTATTTTGTATCAAATTGAATGCATGTTACACATTTCACGCAGTTTTTTCTGTCGCTTTGAGTTTTGTGGTTTATTGTTGATCTGCAGATTCTTCTACTGCAAGTCAAATAAAATTTGCAGCAATAAAAATGCCATCGGGCGACAGGAACACCAACAGCAACACCAGGCGAGCAATAAAAACTAGTGACATTGTTGATTGACACTGACATTTTGGCCATGTCAACGACAAAGTCCATCTGGCTGCACATCTAGTATCCATCTAGTATCTGCGAATGTGTGTTTTGAACGGTGTGGTGTGGGCAAAACACGTGTCCTGTTGCATTCGTTTTATAAACTGTCAAATTTGTCGGGCTAAACGCCCCCCGGATATGATAGTACAGACATGGCGTCGAACCGACCGCAGTCAGCAAATTAGCCATAAACATTGGCTTTTCAAATTTTCTGCTGCCTGCTTTTTGGCTGAATTAATCCTTGCGGAATCAGCAGCCGAAAAAACAGACTGGAATTATTTCGGTTTCCTTTCCTTTTTTTTTTTTTTTTTTTTTGTCCTATTTGTGCTTGTGTTTATTGCATTTAAAATGCAATTATTTAAGGCACGCGTCCGTAAAATGCCGTTCAACCGACTGCACTAATGAACTGAAGCCCGAACTGCTTCAGTGGGGGCGTGGCTGACCCTTGTCCGCCCACGCCCCAACTCCGATCCAGTCCCTATTCGGCTACAAAGTCCTGGCTTTGGAGGCATTCGTGCATTGCAAGCACCAAAAAGGAGAAAAACGAAGAAAAATGCAAAAAAAAAACAGATAAAATGCCTGTTCATTGTGGAAGAGTTCGCAAAAAGAGGGGAATCCAGGCGATTGGGTATCTGAGTAGGAGTAGGAGGGGTAGGGGCTTTATCCTTGTGGGCCGTTGACTTTATTGATTCAACATTGAAGCTTGGTGCTTCAAGTTTCTTGGAAAGCTTAATGAAGAAGGTCAGCCAGAGATGCAGAATTTTAGATGCAATTAGGTGATGAGAGAATAATTTTAGCATGGTGTTTTCAAATAGAGAAGGGGCAAAGAAAATTATAAAATTTCAAAACCAAATGGTTTTTCCTAATAATCTAAATATTTTTTTTAGGGACCGTAAAAAAATAATTGATTAAGAAAAAAGGTAATATCAACTTAATGGGTTGTTTTTTGAGTATTAATTAATCGTTTATAAAATATGAATTCCCGATTAAGAACATATTGGATACGCCATTAAAAAATATTTAAAAGCCTTAGTTCTAAGAAACCCCCAATTAGCACGGTTTTTTAAAAGGGAATTCCTTGGCTAAAATAAAAATCTGACCTGGATCCTAATGACCGTCAAAGAATTAAGAATAAAGAATTTTTCCTAAAAGCAATATTGTATATATATAAATTCATTGCTACTGTGCATAGCAACATACTAAAAGCTTTTTATTTATACCGACCTAAACATTTTTCGGTCGTCTGACTTCCACTTTGGTAACTTTTATGGCCATTTAGTAACATATATGGATATTAAAACCAACTATGTGCTAACGATGCAAGAAATATGGATTTTATTGGCATGGCAAAAAGAGAGAAAAACGAATAATGTTTGCACTCAATATTTTATTAAACTGCATTCAAAACAAACGGCAGGCAAAGTGTACCGCAAAATGCCATTGGGAAATGCTTTTTTTGATTGATTGTCGATTGGCAGCTTCGACGTTGATTTCTCCGCGAATCCTCGCTGCTTATAAATAAAATATCAAAAAGGTACGCCGGGGCCAGGCCTGAAGGCAGAACCAAAACAAAAATCGGGGCAAAACGGAAATATTTATTGGCTCACTTCAAATGAAATATGCCATCAAAATTGTCTGGCTGTCGGGATGACACCTTTTCACTGTGCTCTCAGTCAAGCGTAAATGCGGGCATTGACTGTCTGCTTCCCCTGACTCTTTCACCCGGCCTTAATCTATATACCGCTGACATCAATCAAATGCCAATGGGAATAGATGACACTTTTTGCGTTGCCTTTAAGCAGGCAGATGTAGGTAAACAATCAGAGTGATGCTGGAATCCGTATGTGGGTCGGAACTTATGGGATTTCCTCCGGAGCAACACTGTTGAAGTGGGCTTATCAACCGGATGGATTCCCAAACCGATTCGCTCCCATCTGACACTTAACTTAATGATTTTAGATGGTTCTTCGTATAAACATTTCAGCTTTAGTTCGTACGATTTCCCAATTCCTTTACATAGACAATTCAATTTCGCGTTTGGTCTGCCAAACCCCCCTGCCATTGTACGCATCTATCACTTTATATTTATGACTCTGACTGTTGTGAAAACAGGCCCCATCCCGCTCAGCCAACAAACCATTCAGAGCCCTGGGAATGCGCTCTTAAAGCCCACTTTGTGGTTATTTATGGGGTCAGCCGACGAAAAGTCAAACGCCAAAGATTAAAAGCGGGTAAAATATATTTAATAGCCCCCGCAGGTCCAACCCATGACAGTGGGCTGTACACCAAGAAATTCACCCGAAAGGGGTGAAAAATTAGAAGCATAATGATGGATTGACGCAATTAGTGAGTGATTTTTCAAGTGGACCTGTTATTGCTTTGCCACCAGCTCCGATTTCAACAGACTTTTTTCCCCGTTCTCAACCACTGTCTCTGCCGTAGACTCGTATATCCGATATTGACGTGCGGTCAACAAAGTGCGTTCAATGACGTGCATAAAAACCAATAGCAGCAGAAACAGCTACAAAGACACTCAATCAGCCGGAGACAGTGGGCTGTGGGTGGGGCAAATGGAAAGGGACAGGGAAAGTACGGTGAAATATGGCCAAGTAATCGCTGTCCAATGCCTTGACGATATAAAGAAGTACAACGACGTTATAAAACGGTGCAATGCGCTGGTAAATATGTGTATATAAAAAACTGTGAAAAGGACAACTGCGGGAGGTCAACAAGCGGAATGAAGTAAGTGGATCAAGTGCTATACATTAATATCGCAGTGAAACTACAGGGCGTCTATTAAAGGGATTGTTTTATGTTTGTAAAAAGTAAAGTTATGCACACTATGCATATTTATAATTGTTTGCTTTTTGTGCAATAAGAAATAGTCTTTGAGCCAGTGTTTTTAATTTACACAAGATTTGCCATTTGTAAGCCATTAATAAAACCATAGAAAATCTTATAATGAAGCTTAAATACATTTCATTTAAAATTCAGTACAAAAAAGTCTATTTGTTTAATTTAGTTGTTTAATAATACAAATAAACTGCCCAATTTTTAAATTTACAAAAAATGAGTGACAAATTAAACACAACTTTAATAATGACCAAAGCCATTAATGCGATGGATGCTTTAAGCTGGGGACACAAATTCAATGATTAAACCAGCAGAGTAACCCTCCCGTGCACACAATAAACTATTAAGTGCACAGCATACTTTCCGGCAGGGAAGAGCAATTTACTTTAATGCCACCCGAAATCCATATCCCATATCCCACTCCATGGCGTTCCACCAATCCCCTCGTCTCGTCTCTTCTCGTCTCATCCTGACCAGACCCCTTGATGATAATGTATCCAGTGCCAATTTGGTATTCGCCGAACGCACAAAATAAATGAAAACATAAACCCGACTAACCAAAAAACTGATTACTACATGCTGTCCTCCTCGTTTTCTCCCTCTTTCTCTGCAGGCAACCATGCTGGGAACAATGGCGATAACAATCAAACGCCCGTGCGTAATCCGCCCGGAGCATTTCACAATTCTGCAGGCTCACTGGCGCAGCATAATCTACTTGCTAAAATAATGCTCGGCATTAAAACGCAATCATTTGGGATTTTCAAACGTTTATCGAGTTCTTTGCCAACGGCAACGGCGGCGGCGGTGGTGCAGGGCTGGCCGTGGCTGTCGACGTTATCGCTAGTCTCGCCAAGTCGGTGGCGTATGAGTAATATGGAAAGCCAGCCGAACTCACCGGAGACCATTGTCAACAACGATACAGTCATGGGCGCCGGAAGCTGGGTGAGCAGAGGCCATTGCGGGAACAACAACAACATCACAACGAACAGTCCACAAATGTGGGCGCGGCAATTGCGCATATTTCACATTGCTCATACGCCGTGTGGCGCGTCAACGCAGCACTCGAAACGCCAACGCCTATGCGAACGCCAGTGGCAATGGCTGTGGAAATGGAAGTGGCAACGTCAATGGCAGTGGCAGTGGCGGTGGCAGTGGCAGTGGCCAATGCTCATTTGCATAGTAATATTGGCTGGCTGTTTTGTTCGGTGGTGGCTGCCAATGCTGCTGCATTTTATCGGTCGCCACATCGGAACATTTTCTATTAGCGCGACGCATAGGCAACATTTAATGTGCCCGTTTTGGGCCACCCGTGGTAATAAGGTTGTCGCCCAAAACACTACCCCACTCGCAATGCTCTGCCCCTGGAAGTTTTCAAGATGAAATCAAATAATTGCAAAGGCAAAAGAAACTCATTTAGGGCACAAGCAGCTTGAGGAATGAAATCAAACCTTGGCCAGACGAAGACAAGGATTGGGATGAATAGAGGCAAGAGGCGGAAGTCCGGACAACTGCAGCGGTGGGATATACGTTTGTATGGGGGTCGGACATATAATAGTTATGTTTATACTAGAGCGTAAAATGAAAATCATGTCTAGGACAAGCTGGCCAAAAGCGACAGCGGATGCGTCTGACATTCGGCAAATGATGTGGCTTCAATATCTTTGGCTAGTGTGGCTAACAAAATGTAATATACCTATGAGTATCAAAATAAATGTCTTCATTAAACAAAATTTTTTGGCTTTTGATTGAAAAAATAAAAATGTTTTCAACCAAATCTAAATTGATCTTCAGCGAATACAGCATCACAATTTTGATTGTGAAATATACAATATTAAACTTTCTAACAATTTATTAAATAAATAATACTGAGGATCTTAAAGGTTTACGTTCAGGACACACACGTTTAAAGCCACATCTGATTACAAAATGTTGTATTATATATAAACCATAATAGTTCCAATTAAATGGAAATAAATTAATTATATTCCACATAAAAAAAATGCAAAAGAGAATCGGTTAGAAGTGGAAAAAACGGTTAATCAAATTTGCATTTAGATGAAAGTATTTACGCATACTCGTACATAGCGAATTTACATAGTAAATTTAGCAGAATTATAAAAAAAAAACACAAAAAAAAGCCACAACATAGCAAAGCAAAAAAGTGTTGGATTAAGTAATTTATTGGATATAATGTTAACACTAAATATACAAATGAAATTTTTTTGCCTATGTTTTGTCAATAAAATTAAACTGTTAGCAATGGATTTATTTAATTAATATGATTTTGATTGCATTTAATTTGTTTCACTTAAAGTCATTTATGAGCGAAAAAATAACATGAAATGATTATTAAGTTCCATAAAAATCATATTAAATTAAATTACCTTTATTTCTCTTGTTTCTTATGTTGTTATTGAGAATTTTTCTAGAGCATTTGTATACTCCTCCCAAATGTAAATATTTCAATAGTATAAGCATTAATAAGTATTAAATGAATTTAATGAAACTTCGCTGTACATATGAAAGAAAACTATATGTGTAAACTCCGACTAAATTTATTTATATCTAAGGCTCATAGGGCTTACAGGGCCCTGTTTAATAAATTAAATAAGTAATACAAATACAAAATTATTAAAAAATGCTTTAGTTTTCATTTGTAAATAAATCTACCACATAAATATATACAAGTTGAAATGAATGTTAAAGCGTTAATGAAATCAAGTATATATCTATAGATGTAGGTCGAAACAAAAAAAAAACAGCAAACCAAAAAACACATCTAAAATTTGCAGTTTAAATATGATGAGACCTATTTATTTAAGCCTACTTAAGAAGCTCAGAAAATATAACTATAAATACGAAAAATTATACATAACTCGTAAGTTAGCTATAACATATAAATATATGTATTGAGCTCTATATATGTGAATAAGTGGCATATCTATGTGACGTATTTGTATGTAAATGTATGCAACAGTTTACAGCAAAAATAAAACCAAAAAAACAAGCCCAGTCCACTTTATTATAATTCCCTTTCAAGGACAAAGCAATTTCCAGATCAGTATTATCTAAAGGCTATGAAAACAACCAGCTCTCGGGTAACAGACAACCATGCATTTTTTCACAAGTAACCAAGCAGAAGAATTAAATAAAGTGCAGCTGGTGCATACAGGCCTGGATTCAAAACAGAAAAGGTAGCAAAGTACATTGTTAATACTGAATTCGACTAATTGCTAATTAAATTATACACCAACAGTTCTATAGGTATGCAAAAATTATGAATTTAATACCCATTTTAAAAACAATGACCACAATTACTCCACTCCTGAAAAAGTTCCTAATTGCCCCCACATTCAAAAAATTAAGAACAACATAACAGAAATATAAAGGATAAAAGCAGAAGCAAGGCCACAATGAAAGAAAACGAGAGTAAATGCCTACACATGCACAGACTTTATTTAAAACCAGGCCAAACCGATTTTCCCCTTTTTTTCGGTTTTTGTTGCAGCTTGTTTATAGGAATTGTTGCAGCTTCTTGTGCCTCTGTTGAAATTGTTGCGGCTGCCATTGAAATGCCGTCGTGTGGAAATGAGCGAAATTTCCAAGCAATTAGCAATGGAAGAATAAGCGACGTATTGTCGTCATTTTCAACTCGTTCCCAGTTTTTGCGGCTGACAGTGCGTATGAGCAATGCAATTTCGCTGAAAAAAGTAACTTAGGCTGGAGTGGGTACTTCAGTCTTTTCTAGAGATTCTGAACTTGGTTGATTTAAAAATCGTTTAAATGAATGTCTTAAGGCTAACATTTGGGAATAATATAAAGCATTTTATTAATTTTGATTGCTATATTGACATTTTATCAATCTTTGTAAACTACATTTTTGCGATTCATAAGTCTGCTTGTATATTAATCACATTTTTCGTAAGCAATTACTTTTCAGAGCGAAAAATAATTGACTGTAGATTTAATTTAAACAACTTAGAAAGTAAATTGCCTAGTTTTTAAGTTTATAATATTTTTGTGATCCCGAATTTTTGTTTAATATTTTGCCAAATGGAACACAAGATAGCGAATCAGTGTATAGCAGAAACGAATGTGCATATGAACTAAAAGAAACCATGGCTCACGTACAACAAAGGGTGGCTAAAAAGGTGTTGGTAACAAAGTTGTCAGAGTTACTCGCTCTCTTTTGTCTTCCACGTGGCTTCTGCGAATGGAACAATCCTGGGACGAATGCAAGTGGAAAATTCAATTTGTAAAGTGCATAAAAGTAGCGTCAGCCGAGGCAGACCAAAAACGACGGGGTATGAAGTGGTGGAGTCATATGTGCGGCAGCTCGACGCTGAGGGTATTTGTTGTTAAACAAAGGCGGCAGCTACTATTCCCAGCCATGGGTGTATCCCCACTCCCCACTCACCACTCCGCTCCACTCCACTCCAGCCGGGAGCTGTTTACACACACTGCCATAACAAGGACGGCTGCGGACTCCAAGTTGCAGTGGCATAAACGAGAATGCAGCACAAGCATTGTAATTAAATCTGCGTCAACATAAACGTTGCCTGCTGCGAAGAGGGTGAAAGCAAAAATGGCCGAGGAGGAACAAATGTCGACGACATTTTTCCGTGCACGTGCCTGAGAATGGCCATGTGTTTGTTTGTCTTTCACGTTGCTCACTTGTTGGCCCAGACGAGTAAACATGTGGATGGGCCTGGAAATCTGGCCAGGCTCCATCAAAGATAGGTAAGGTCATAGCGGCTTAATTCACAGGAAGCCAGCTGCATATCTCATTCATTGGTTTGGTAAAACAAATTCATGGCTATGTAACATAAGATTAAATTATTAAATAAAAAGAAGAATGTTAAGTTCTATCTCATTTCCAAAATGTGAAATGATATTTTAGATGTGAAACACCAAATTCAAGAGAAAATCAAATCTACTCACACCAAAAATGGGATTTAATTACAACCAAAAAAAAAAAAAACGTTTCTTAAAAAAGTAAGTTTAACAACCAATCATTTAAATTTACAGCCTGCAAATAGCGGCACTTAAGCTCTTAAAATGTACTTGCATAAACTACGGCCAATAATTGTTAAAAGCGCAGCGCATATTAAAAATATGAAAAAGACGAAGAAATATAATACCAGTCTCAGCCACTTCTCCTTCACATCCATCTTCCTTGAGCTATGTTTATTATCATTGGGTCTGCACGCATATTTGCGGCAATTAAGTCAGACCAGCAACGCATAAATCACGCATACGCCCCATTGCGCCCACCATTTCCCCCGGACCGCCCGCCTGACCTGATTTGCTTCGATTAGACAAACGATAAATATCCATGGCTAGTTCCTTTTCCCACTCGAGTGTTTTTATGTCTTAGAAGGGTTAGCTGCCCTGCCCGAGTTTATTAAGCTGTGTAATATTTTGACAAAGGTCTGGGGCGTGAGGAAGAGGGCAATTACCAGGTCCAGGCAATGTGAGTGGTAAACCAACAAGAGGAATCGGGCGAGTAATGGCCGGATGAAGGGCATAACTTAACGTTCGCCAGTGTTGACGCTCACATCCTTGGGCGGCCACCTATCATAACGCTCGAGCGTCTCTGGAGCGACACGCACATGCGCCGGCAATTATGCTAAAAGCGTTAAATTTATAGTTTCCCACACTCGGTGTCAGCGAGTGTTGGGCCTTTGAGCGTTTTTAACATGGCTCAGCTTGTCGGCATTGGCCACTAAATAAATGGCTTTTAGAGCACGCGTTAATGATGTTGATTGTGGCCCAGGGAGCTCCGCCCACCCGCGATCCATCCTCCGATTTCATGTTTTATGCTTTATAGCCACGGCGGCGAAAGGGGGCAGACACCACGTTCCTGTTGGTCTCTGTCCGGTTTATTTTTATGATGATAGATGGCCCGGTCTCCCCTATTCGCTATCTCACCGGTGCCTGTTGTCAAAAAGGATTTAATGCCATATTTATTAGAGGTGTAAATGCATATAAACAAGTGTGTGTGTGGGACAGCAAGGTATGCGCATTCTTTGGCCGCAAAAACTTTGTTAATGGATAGTCCGGTATCATTTGAAAACGAATGGAAAAAATTCCAGATCATAGCACAGGTCCTAAAAGGATGATAAATTTGGGCTTTTAAAATGTTGAATTTATTTTTAAATTTGTTTAAACATTTATGAATTTCGCATTACAGTATCAGTGCTATTACAGAAATCCGTGCAGTATTGGTGTCATTTAATTTTTGTATTTTTCTATAATCATTTGCTGTATTATAGAATTTTAGTTTTAAATAAAAGAACGAAAAAATTGTAGGGAATTGAAGGGACTTAAAAATATATGTATAATACCAATTGGAAATCTCTCGACTAAACACACAGGAAAGACCACCCCTGGGCAGGAGAATAATACAAAACATCCTGCACTTAAAATGCAAAGTGGGCATAAAACCGAAACTAACAAATAAAAATTGCAAAAAAAATTAAAGTGTTGGCAAAGCGTTGCATTCTCCCCAGCTTCCCAGTGAATGAGAATGAATGAAAAATAAAGGAAAACAAAAAAAAAAACTGAAGAAAAAACGTTTGCGGGCCAAACTCATCACTCAAAGGCTTGGGCCATGCCCACTTTCCTTTCCGCTCAGTCTGGGCAACAAAAAATCCACATAACCAATCCGGCGCAGTGAGAGCGGAGGCGGGAATCGGGGCAGACCAGCAAAATGGTTTAAAACTCAATTAAAGTTTTAGCCGCAAAATAAATGCAAAAACGACGACGGCAGCGTCGACAGAAGGAAAAAATACTCGAACACAACAAGCAAAAAAAACAAACAAAACAAAAAATAACAACGATTTGGGAATACCCGAAAATGACATTCTGATTGGTGAAATACTCTTACCCAATTTTTTCAGTGTAAGTATACTTACATTCCATTTATTACCCAAAACATAAACATGAAAATAAAAACAATTGCTTCAATTTGTTTAAACTCATAAAATCTCTTGTTTTTTGAAACATTATATTTATTTAAAAATATCTATATTTGCTTCATCTTTTTTTATGTTAAGCTTAAACCACTATATATGACCAACAAAAACAATTTTTGGTTGTTTTTAAGAAAGTTTATTAGCTTTCTACATTAACAACAACTCTTAAGAATGACTAATCTAAATTAATCTTGAATTAAATAACAAAGATTAAGCCCTTTAAAATTAGTTTAACAATTATTGGCCTTTATTAAGACACACGTTTAATTTTAGTAACAACACAAAAGTTTCAGCAATTTAAATGCTAAAACCATTTCAACAAATACTTATTTCAAATTTCGGATTCAGTTAGAGAAACCATTTTCGCATTCTTCGCTTGGCGAAACCTTTCAAAGTGCGGGCCATCAGCGCTTGCCACGCCCACCGGAGTGGCCGCCCACTCCTCTAACCATGGCACTTTTGATGGCTGTAATTCAAATGAAAATTACACAAATGAATTGAATTTCCGAAAAATGCAGCAGCAGCAGCAGCAGCGGAGAAACTTTGATGAGCCCCGGATCTGTTTTTTTTTTTTTTGGATTGGGCGTAATGATTGTGTGTGGGTTCTAGTGGGCCGGAGTGCGAGTGTTTGTTTGTTTGTTTGTTTGCGATTAGTTTACGCGCCCCTGGTGCCAGAATGCCTTTGGCCACGGGCTGCACCTCGTTTGACTCGCTGTCGATTGGAGTGCAGTTGGGCTAACGAGTTGCTCGAGAGTTTCACGGCAAATGGATTTGGGTTGGGTTTTGGGTTTTGGGTTTGCGTTTGGGTTTGGGCTTGCGTTTGGAATTTAATGGCGCATTCTGGTCGCACGCCGCCTCTACCGCAAGAGTTTAAATTTGTTTTATTGGAGCGTGAAATCGTGTTTTGTTTTTAATTTTGTTGTGTTCGTAAGAGTAGAATGAGTATCGTTTTCGAATAACCCCCATAGTATACTTACCCTCGGCACAAAAAATATTCCCCGCCCTGAAGGGAATCTGAGAATCTGCAGTT